TGAAACATTAAATACGTATTTTTTCTTTTCTCACCTAATTAAATACTTTTGACGATATATTGATTTGAAATATCGTGTGACGTCACAGCGTGTCAAATTTTGTAGCACGTTATGACGTAACGACCTCCCACTCCTAAACTTAACACCATTTTATCTAAGTATTGCCAACTAATACGAGAAAATAAAAAAAATATGTGTCTAATATTGTTCCATTATCTAACTGACGGACTAATTTTCATTCCCTGACAACTATCCTATTGATACTTGTTCAATGAGTAGAACTCGGGCACTCAAGTTAGTTTTCATATATATATTAGGTATTAATTCACTCACGTCCAATCTAAAGGCACGTACTTACCTACTTGAATATCACTACCATCACTACATAGTATAAAACAAAGTCGCTATCCGTCGTCTGTCTGTCCATATGCTTAGATCTTTAAAACTACGCAACAGATCCTGATGCGGCTTTTTTAGGTAGAGTAATTCTTAAGGAATGTTTGTATGTACCTATAGGCATATTGCACCCATGCGAAGCCGGGCCGGGTCGCTAGTGCGTAATAATGTCAAATGACTATTTTATTTGGTATTTCAAAACTGAACACGTAAATACTACATACAAGTAGGTACCTAGGAACGAATGATTCAGTTCAATTAAACCATAAATATTATAACATTTTCCTTTTAAAACCGCCTTTTAGTTAGTTGATCATTGTTACAACTACGCAGTACTTTAGCTATGATACATTTATTCCTCATTGCATTTCCGAGTAGGTACGAATAGTCATTTTTATTTTAATACCAGTGGTTTTAACAGTAGCTTTTTCATTTTCCTGTAATAATTAATTAGGATTATAATAAACATTAGCTACTTCCACGGGGTTTCACACGCTCTGCTCAACTCCTATTGGTCGTAGCGTGATGTTTTATAGCCTATAGCCATCCTCGATAAATGCGCTATCCAACACAAAAATATTTATTCAAATCAGACTTGTAGTTACAGAGATTAGCGCGTTCAAACAAACAACCAAAAAAACAAACTCTTCCGCTTTATATAATAGTATTTTTTTAAGGGGGGGAAATCCACGAATCACTGCTATCGCCTGGGTGGGGAGGGAGGGAGTCTCAGACTCGTACTGACTAAAAACCACCGCTTTAAAACTGACGATTGGGAGTCGCAGAGAACCTAACGGGTAACCGGGGCTCCGGCTCGACGTGCAGGAGAAGGAACCGGGTGGTTTTTAGTCAGTAAGAGTCTGACACTCCCACCCTGCTCACCCAGGCGGGAGAAGTAATTCGATGATTTATCCCCTTAGAAAAAAATGTATATTACTACACAAAGACGTTGAAAAACATGCGGACATAATTATTATGTAATGTCTGTCACTTAGAAATGATTCAAGCACCATAATGTCAGGGAGTTATTTATGTGTGCGTGTGTGATGGGGTATGACGTTACCAGACATAAGGAAATGACAGATGTCCTGCGTGTCAATGTGTGCATATTTTGCGTGTAAGTCTATAGTAGCGACTGCTTCTTTGGCCGAGTCGTCACAAGTGCGACTGCCGGGGCAAGGGGTCTCGGGTTCGAGCAAAGTATTACTGGGTTTTTAAAAATCTCAATAGTAGCACGGTCTGGAAATGTGCCCGGTATATGGCAATAGGCTCACCACTATTACATGGGACTCATAACATAAATAGTGAAAAGTGGGTGTTATATTGTACAGTGGCATTAAGTGCCGTAATGTGCACCTCTGCCTACCCCTTCGGGGTTAAAGGCGTGATGTTATGTTATGCGTCTATAGTAGGTAGCCAGGTGCCACAGTCGTTGTTTCAGGAGACTGTGTCCGCCATTTTTTCAACGTCCTTGCTACTACCAATGCAATCCACTAATGGCATAGACTATAAAAAAAACGCCAACCATAGACTATAAAAAAGATAGAAAGGTAGACTCTGGTCAGTGCTCGCGCGGGAAATGTGAGAAAGAATCGTTTTTTTTTTTCTTCTATGGCAATTGAGAGAGAGACAGAATCGTTACTTATAAGTTCTAATCTGTAATTCCCTTGTTTAATAATGTTGTTACTCTGTTTATCAAATAATATTTGTTGTAAATGCGTGTAGTATCACTGCATAATAATATATAAAACAAAGTCGCTGTCCGCCGTTTTGTTTGGGCATCCGGTAACCTCACTCACACAATAAAACACAACGCGAGCGTTGTTTTACGTCGGTTTTCTGCTCGGCCGTGGTATCACTTCGGTCGAGCCGGCCCATTCGTGCCGAAGCATGGCTCTCACATACTTTAATGTGTTTTTTTAATAGATACAGTGGTTCTTAAGGAAGGTTTCTATGTATGCATATTGCACCCGTGCGAAGCCGGGGCGGGTCGTCAATACATACATAGTATAAAACAAAGTCGCTTTCGCTGTATGTCCGTATGTATGCTTAGATCTTTAAAACTACGCAACGGATTTTGATGCGGTTTTTTCTAATAGATAGAGTGATTCTTAAGAAAGGTTTATATGTATAATACATGCATATTGTCGCTAGTATAGTATAAAATAAAGTTGCTTTCCGCCGTCTGTGTCTCTATGCTGACATCTTGAAAATTATGCAATAGATTTTGTTACTATCCTTTGATAGAGTGATTCAAGAGAAATGTTTGTGTATTATAAAGTAGGCGAGCGAAGCCGTTCGGAAAGCTAATTGATTATAAATAAATATTTATGTTATTTTATTGAATTCTTGTTTCTCCCACAGATGACGAAGCAGAGGAATTGCTAAAGGTACACGATCTATGGAGTTTCTTCCAAACGGATGGCAGAAAGACCAGGTGTATCATCTGCCAGGAAACGACGGGAAAGGATTATGAAGATATCAAAGCTCATATGAAGGAGAATCATCCTAATATAATGCTTCAAATGCTGCAGGTACTTGACAAATTTGAATTCCTAAAATTCAATATTTTTAGTCTAATTTCTAAAACGAGCGTGAAATAGTAGTCTTGGTTTTGTAAAATTAGAAAATTTAGTACCTATGTTTGTATAATAACTATCGTGAGACATACTACATTAAGTAAAATCGCGGGTTACTCACGTGAATATACTGAGAAAAGTTCTACTAGTTTCGAACTACAGACGGGTTCTTCCTCGTGAGCAGCGTGGGAGAACCCCTACCGGGTAGAGTAACCCGCGGTTTTACTTAATTTAGTACCTAGTTAAATCAATGGCTGTATGCATTATTATTTTTATTAAGTATGTCTATTTTATTGCATTGAAGGGTCGGAATAATTTAGGAAACTACCTAATTAGACTCTTTGTGCCTAAGACTTAAGTTATTCCGTATAATACAAATCGAAGGGTAATGATATCTTTCGATTTCTTTGACAGTCGGACATTTGTTAATGTCCCTGGACGGTCCGACCTTCAGTGTTCCGGTGTCTACATGGTTGTATCTACTGTAAATCCTATTGGGTTGTGGCGGGCTTGTCCCTATGAGTTCTGAAAGTTCAAGAAAATAGGACTATTCTTTTTTTTATACATGGTTGGCAACACATTCGTAACATCTCTAGTCAGAGTCGTATTGTCTCTAAGGTAAATTAGGCATGGGCGCAAAAATTGGGGGCCTAGGACACTCTAGGTTTTATGCACCCCTGCCAATACCAGAGGGTGTTTCAACTGCCCATACGCGATGTTTACCATCAAGTGTGATCCATTTGATTACTTGCCCTACCCTGAGGCCGTATTTAAAAATAACTACAGTCCAAAGTCAAGCCAGTTCTAAAATTACTTTTTCCTATTTTTTTATTATTGAGGAAACCACGTTATTCTAATGTTAGTTAGACTTGCTTTAACTAATGAGTCATAAGTTAAAGCAAGTAATTAAGTTATTAAGTTATAGTAATTACTCATAAGTTATGAATAATAGTTGTAAAAAATTGTCTATTCTTTGCAGGCACAGGACAAAGACAATTCGGACGCCTCATCAAACGAGGATGAGACAAACACAGCATACACCGAAGTAGTTTACCTCGAAAAGGAGCCGAGCCCTGAACCAATGACAGCAAGAGAAAAACCTAAACTAATCAAAAAACGTAATCGTCCAAGTGTCTTTGACAAAATTGACGTTGACAGCCCGCCAAAACGGCGCAGAGACAACGCGAAACTCAATGAAAATGACAGCGACGAACTGACAGCCTTTGTTAAATACATTACTTGCCTGTTAAAAAAATTACCGCCCGATGTTTTTTCTAATGTTCAAATTGATATTATTAATACTATTTTAAGAGCTAATTCGCAAAATAATAGTATTTTAATTAATAAAGACTTGCCTAGTACGTCTAATACTTCTTTATTGAATTTAGAAGCTAATAGCAGTTTAAATCATAATTACACTATTACTGTTGCCGCTCAAGAACCGAGTAAATGTGATACAGATAACAATGTTATTAATACATAGATAACTGGGTACTTGCTGTAATCAAAAATAAATTATTTCGACTGTTCAATACAATAAAATATCAAAAAATAATCACACTTTCATTCATTGATTATTTGACCAACTTAATTTTAGTATTTTTCCAGCAAATTTTTAAGATATAAATATGCTGTTTGACGCTAAAAAATGTGACGTCACAATACACAATCTCGTACAAAATCCATAGAAAACTGTAATTTTTTACGGTTTGAAAAAAGTATTGAATTTGACTAATTGGCACGGTACGGTAGTTGACAGGTAGTCAAATTCAATGCCTAATTTTAATTATAATATGTCAAAAACGATACGTAAGTAGGTAGGAATTTTGTATTGCATCGCAACTTATGATGTCATCATATTTCTGCGTCAAACAGCATACTTATTTCCTTATTTGCGAGAAAAATCCAAAAGTAGGTAAATCAATTGATGATATGAGAGTATGATAATTTTTTAATAATTTATTGCATTGAAAAGTTAAAACAATTTATTTTAAACCTAGGAAACTAGCGAAAAATAGTGTTTTTTTAACTTGTATTAATTACTCAGTAAGGAACATGGCGATATTTTGTCGTGGTTAGTTCGCACATGTGTAATTTCCTATTTAAATTAAAATAATTACCAGCATTAGGAAAAATTCTTGGAATGTTAAGTACTGACAGTATTTTATAATTATTAAAAATAAAGTTTTATCTACTGATATAAGGGTGTTTCATTTAATAATTGTAATAAAACAAAGATATATTCATTGGCACAACTGATTTTATATTTAAAAAATATATAAATTACACTTAGAACTGATTTGTTGACCAACATCGCAGCAGTCGAGGCCCCGTGAATGCTCCACACATGCAAAAAAAAATATTGGTTAGCAAAACCAATTTACACTACATAACATCACGCCTTTTAGCCCCGAAGGGGTAAGCAGAGGTGCACATTACGGCACTTAATGCCACTGTACAATGTAACACCCACTTTTCACTATTTGTTATGAGTCCCATGTAATAGGGGATGAGCTTATTGCCATATACCGGGCACAATTTCAGACTCCGTGCTACTACTGAGTTTTTTGAAAAAACCCAGTAATACTTTGCCCGAACCGGGAATTGAACCCGAGGCCCCTTGCCCGGCAGTCGTATTTGCGACCACTCGGCCAACGAGGCAGTTAAAACAAATAAACAAAACCTAATTATTGTATTAAAATCTCCTTTTTGTCCAAATCCGACCACACACAAACAAAGTCTTCAAGTTTATTACTATTAACAACTATAAATGGGGTCCCTATTGCAATTTGATCCCCTTTCAAAAACCAGTTGTAACTAGCTAAGACCGGATAGGTCAGGTTTGACCTGGTTTAACTGCGCAGTGGTACGAAGTGTACTTGATTTGAAAATTGTTATTATTTTGTTACTAACTCGGTCGGTCATAGGTACAACTGACCACGCTGAACACATTTTAGTTTGGTAGTTTCTAACTAAATAATATTCAATAAATTACTACTCCCACGGTGTCACCCTCTGCTCGGCTCCTATAGAGCTTGGTGTAATATTATATCTTATCTTATACTATTACTAGCGACCCGCCCCGGCTTCGCACGGGTGCAATATGCATGTATTATACATATAAACCTTCCTTAAGAATCACTCTATCTATTAAAAAAAACCGCATCAAAATCCGTTGCGTAGTTTTAAAGATCTAAGCATACATACGGACATACAGCGAAAGCGACTTTGTTTTATACTATGTATTGATATAAAGCGGAAGAGTTTGTTTTTTTGTTTGAACGCGCTAATCTCCGTAACTACAAGTCTGATTTGAATAATTCTTTTTGTGTTGGATAGCGCATTTTTCGAGGATGGCTATAAGATAGAATTTTTTATGGTATAAGCCAGTAAACGAGCAGACGGATCACCTGTTGGTAAGCAATCGTCGTCGCCCATGGACACCTGGAACACCAAGGCGTTTCAAGTGCGTTACCGGCCTTTTGGGAATTAAAAAAATAGAATTCGAGGGGTAAATAGATACAGGAATGGGGTGTGTATAAGTGTTAGAATATTTTCTTAATATTTATTCACTCCTCTTCTCTGTATCTATTCACCCCTCGAATTCTATTCACCCCGTTTTACGGTACTTTATAAATAAGATGACAAGACATTACTGGCTAGATTTTTGTCAGTCTCTCGTTCTCTTATAGGTGCGATATACGAAATTGAACGGGCAAGCATAGGATCTTCATGTGGGCCAAGGCTAATCATTAAGGCTCGATGGGCCGCATGACGCTGCGGCTCATCGGCCGCTAGTTGAGTATAGCTGGCCTAGTATTCCTCGATATATGGACTACCCAACACAAAAACAATTATTTTTATAATAACTTTCGTGAGATAGGTATACTAAATTCACTAAAAATGGCGGGTTACTCACGTGAAAATACTGAGAAAAGCTCTACTAGTTTCGAATCACAGACCACAGAGGGGTTCTTCCTCATGAGCAGCGTGCGCAGTCGCGCAGCCTACTCCGAACTAGTAGAGGTTTTCCCAGTATTGTCCCGTAAGTAACTCACAATTTATAGATAACAAACAAAAATAATTATTAAATTCCAATCAGTAGTTCCAGAGATAGGCGTTCGAATAAATAAACCAACATAGTATAGACTAGTTTGCTCATATACCGGTAAGCGCAGTGTAGGACGTCCACCAACAAGATGGACAAAGGTCTAGCAGTCTTGCTGTCCTGTCGCAGTATGCAGGTCGATTCCAACCTCGCGATGTGTAGTCACTGGGAGAGGCAGTGGGAGGTAGTGCACTGTACGTGGCTGTACGCATAATGGAAACTTTACACGACCTGAAAAACTGATTAAAAATATTGCTCGAATCTTTCGATTCGATACCAAGACCCGTTTTATTGTTGCTTTTTGGACCAAATACAGTGAAACTTGGTTAAGTAGGACCTGGATAAGTGAGAAACCTCCATAACTGGAACTCGTGCTAAGATCCCAACACTTTGGCACTGAATTACCTCTGTTAGTGAGACGAGGTAAACCTCTATATATGGGATTTGTTATTTCGATTTATCATCATAGTTAGGTACGTCTATAACTGAGACAGCGAGTAAATTTTATATGCATAAACCTCTGTAACTGAGATAACATTGTTTGTTTACTCGTTCTTATTCTACCCACAAATTCCACACGTAATTCCAAGTTCACCTCTACTAATGGAACCCTCTGTAAATGAGACAGATATTTATTTATACCTGTATATCTGAGATACTGGGTAAATGGAATACCTCTATGACTATAAGTGAAACGACATTGCAGGTCCCTTGATGTCTCACTTAACCAGGTTTCACTACATAGATTAAAGGTGAAGTTTTGCTAACTACAAACATTTAATAAATGTCAGGAACAAATTGTAGCAACAGAACTATAGTTAAGCACGACTTAAAATTGAGTAGCGTCTCAGATTTTGTACATAAGTTACATTATCAACTAGCTGTTGCCCGCGGCTTCGTTGGAATTGTGATTCACAGCTTCTCCCTCGTAGATGATAGCATGATAATAATATGTAGCCTATATGTTGCCCCGACCTGTTAGTTAATATTCATGCAAAATTTGAAGTAAATCCATGCAGTACTTTTTGAGATCATCCCAGACATACATACAGACAAACAGACAAAAATTCTAAAAACCATTTATATTTGGCTTCGGTATCGATTGTAGACCACGCCCCAAGTATTCTTTTCAAAAAATATTCAATGTACAGTTTTGACTTTTCTAAGATTTTATTATACATATGTATATAAGTGCTTCAAGGTGAAGTGTTAAAGTTGACTGATAAGCGAAATAATAACCCCTCATTATCACTTGTATTCTCGACTCTTCGGTTTCACTCGCGGCTCGTCTCTTACTGATCGAAGCATGATGATTTAAAGCTTAGCTCTTCCCAATAAATGGACTATTCAACACAAAATAAAAGTCGATAGAATCTAGATAAATAGTGTAATCTTTTTATATTTTATGTATATAAATGTATTAACAACATAACATAACATCACGCCTTTTATCCCCGAAGGGGTAGGCAGAGGTGCACATTACGGCACTTAATGCCACTGTACAATG